TTAAGATCCCAGTCACTACTTGCCAAAGTAGGAGGTGGAACAATGTTTTGTGTAGTATGTGATGCCAATTGAGCTTGATGTCCCCTGTGACTATGGTCCCGAGCCCACAGGTTCAACTATTCGGTCCCTCTGGGTAGCTGGCTGTGACCAAGAAGTGACTACAACCTTGTCAGAGGGACACTTTCTGAATTTCTTTGCCAAATCATAAAAATCAACAGTTGGGTATCAAGAAATAGAAGACACCAAACACTTCAATCCATCAGCCACTGCCATTGAGATAATTCTGACTCATAACAACCCTACAGAACAGAGTAGAACTGCCCCACAGGATTCTGTAAAGGCTGTAAACCTTTACAGAAGCAGATTGCCTCATCTTTCTCCTTCAGTGTGACTGGTGGGTTCGAGCTGCTGACCTTTTCATTAGCAGCTGTATGCTTTAACTACTGTACCATCAGAGCTCCTGTAAGTAGTCTCAAAATCAACAAAAACAGCTGACTATTCTATTAAATGTCTTATATCATGCCATTTCATACTTACTAAAGCACACAGTAGGCTCAAATTGAAAAACAGAAGACTTACCTAAGATGCCAAAATAGAAACTGCCCTATCCTCCGATTAGCAAGTGCTCTTTCTAATAGGAATCGAGAGAGGGCACAATCAAGAAAAGGCTCATATTTTAAAACCTGCACCAGTTGTAAAAGATATTGAGAGAGCTCTTCATCACTGAAAAAAACAAAAACAGCAAGTCACTCACCAACCAACTTATGGCAGAAAAAGATCGCTTCCTAGTAAACTATTAATACTAACTTACTGAAACGCAGTGGTTCTTTTTGGCTAGACTGTTAAAAGCTCATATTCATTTAGTAGTGTTAACTATACCATCATAATAAAAAATTGAAGATTTCAAAGGGGAACTGCGCAAAGAACAGATATGTGGTACATTTTTACTAAATTAATTAATATAATTAATTGTTGTACACATTTACAATCAGCCCAGAGTTAGAAAAACTTAGCCACTCTAAACTGATTTCTCATCATGGTGAAAAAGTTAAGAGCTTAGTTATACAATCACTTTTTCAAAATAAAATCTTCAACAGTATTTTAGCAATTTGTTTCCCTGCCTTATCACTATGATCTTCTCTAAGACAGTCAGTGAAACATTAGAATCTTACCTTAAAATAGTTTGAAGGATAAGAGTTCATTTGGAAGGTAGAGATTGAATAACTATAATAGACAATACTGTTTTGTAATTAACTGGACTGAACTAATTAATTAATTAGTTAAATAGAGAACTAATAGTAGTTCTCTATTTTGTGTCCATCTCCACATTATCCACTTATAAACAGACTTAATCAGAGACAATGACAGTGAGGGGGTGAAAAGTGGTTTGGTGATGTAGATCTGTATATGAATCCCAAGTCTACCACTTCCTGACTAGTCTTGGGCAACAAATGGTTAAAGAAGCAGTCTCAGGCAGATCTGGGATTGAAACCCAGGGCACTAGATACCGTAAAACAAAATTAGAAAGTTTAACATAGGGGAAAAAAAAATTAGAACTAGTTACATGTAACATGAGGATCACAACAATCTCCTCATAGGAATCAATGCATCTAAGAAAAGCATTTGGCCCTGCTCAAGGGGAGCCAGGGGAGCCCCCCCTTAGGTCTCCAATGCAAACTTAGGGAGAATGAAGATAATCTGGGAAATTTATTTATTTTTTTCAAAAGAACTATCTATATGATAATTTTAATTAGTTGTGCTATAAAATGAACGCCCGTTATATAAAAAAATCAGTAGTGTAAAAAATAAAAATCCTCCTTTCTTCACCCTTTCTAATTTCATTTCCCTGAAATAACCATTACTAAGAAGTTCGTGTGATTCCTTTTAGAAATCACATCATTTAAAACATACACAATTTTAAAAGGAAGAAAAAGGGATAAGAGTGTCTACACTGTTCAGAAAACTTTTATTTTTCACATAACCATACAGTATATAAAGACCTACTTTGGAAGCCTCATTTTTGAGGCCAGAAAGAAAATGGATAAATGTGAAAATGTCCATTCCCTAAGACTACCTCAACAATGTCATTTCCTCAATAAATCTTATAGACTGTCACACATGTACTTCACAATGAGGATTTATATAAGCATGTTCAATGTAGTATTTCTTACAATAAGAAAATTTAGAGAAAATGTAAATGTTCTTTAATGAGGGAGTGGGACAAACATGATAAATCTGTAAGATAAAATACCACACTGTAGTAAAAAGAATAAATTATATTTATATATAATGGGAGAGACTGACTTCAAAAATCTAACGCTAAATGAAAATAAGAAAGATACAAAACAAAACATATGGTAAGAAATATATGTGTAATTTAAAAATTTCTAGTACTATTCTAAATCTGTATTTTTATAGATATATGTCTGTGTGGTAAAACCAAAAAAAAAAAAAAAGTATAGAACCATAATAGTGATTCCCATGGGAAAGTAATCAGGACTGGGAAAGACAGCTATGAAGACTTTAACTATACTGTTTGATTTATTTTGCTTAAAAATAACTTTTTAAAAACATGGCAAAATATTATCATTTCTTAATTCTGGGTAGTGTACATATTGTGTGTAGGAAAGAGTTAACTGACACAGTGGGTCTGACTATTACCCTTTCAAAAGCCTGCTTATGGAGCTAGACTGTGACTAGCATCTGGGAAGTTAGATTTTGGAAAGATTCTCCCAACCCTGATTGATAAGAATGGCTCACTGCGCCTAAAATGTTTGTACAAACATATGGATTATATGAAACATGCACTTTCCCTCTGAAGTCTTAAATTTTGCTTCATGGTAGGTAGAGAATGCTTATCTGACAAGCCCCCAGTAAAAAATCCTAGGCACTGAATCTCTATTGATTTTCTCCAGTAAACAACATTTCAACAATTTGTTGGTAGAGGAAAGGACCACTGGAACCTTATGGCTGGTTTTTTCTGGACTTCACCCCATGCACCTTTTTCCTTTGATGATTTTACACTGTATTCTTGTGCTGTAATAAATTAAAGCTGTGAATATAACTATATGTAAGGTCCTATGAATCCTCCAAGAGAAAGACTGAACCCAGGGATGATCCTGGGAACCTCCAGACCCAGCAAGTTTTTTTTTTAAACAATATAGAGTGAACATTATTGTACATTATTAACCTTTTCTTTTCTTATGATATATTCAAAGAGACATCCCATTTCCATCTTTTCTCAAGGTATCCCTGCCCCAAAGAAAGCTATGTACAAGAGATACCTCATCTGTCGCAGGCAGCCCACGGCATATTCCCGCACGTACTGGTCTGGATAGTTGAAATCCAGAAGCTCCAGGGCCTCCCGAGGGGGCAGTTTAGGCCAAATCTGAAGAAGCGCCTGAAGCTGTTTGAAAATGGAAACTGGTTCAGAAATATTCTAGAAGAAAAGTAACCTATTTTCCTTAGCACACAGGTACAGAGATGGGTTAAGAGAAAAAATATATTTTCAATGATCCATTCCTGTTGGTATGAATTAATGAAGAGTATCTTCATTATTCAAAACTTTTACAGATAAGCAAATAACAAAAAGATATTATTTACCTGGAAGGGGGGTAATAATTCACTGAATACATGGATATTAGAACCATTAGCCATTAAATAATTCTTAAAATCCAGAAAGAGAGTGAGGGAGTGAGGGAAGGAAGGAAGGCAAGGGGTCGCCATAAGTCAGGGGCCAACTCAATGGCAGCTGACAGTAACAACTCTTCTGTAAGAGTCCCTAAATAGTGCGAACAGTTAACATGCTCAGCTGCTAACCCAAAGTTACAGGTTCTAGTCTACCCAGAGGTGCCTCAGAAGAAAGGCCTGGACATCTACTTCCAAAAAATCAGTCACTGAAAACCCTATGGAGCACAGTTCTACTCTTGACAAACATGGGTCACCATGAGTTGGAATCAGCTGAACAGCAATTGGTTGGTACTCTTTTATAGCTTGTCCACCTATGACTATGTCTATAGAATCAGAAAATAAATCCTGCACCAGGCATCTGGCTTTCCATTTCTCAAGGTAACAGCTTTATTGAAAAAACAGTGCACTATAATCTTTTGCACTACTTTGATGTAAAATTTGATAGGGCAAGGAGAGGTACAAAAACTCATTATTTTTTATACTATTTTTTCCTTTTACTCAAGACCACTGAAAACAGGAATCAAAATTATACAATTCACGTTTTCTTATACTTGCTTACATACACATAGTTAAGTGTATTTCCTTGAGCCTCAAGATTCTGCTACTGGCTTTTCTTCTACCAAAACAGGCAGACTTCAGTAATATCTGAAAATGGCCTTTTAGACTTCCTCTTGAAATGAGACAAGTATGTTAAATACCTGGATGTAAAAGTTTCTGTCTCTAGGGGCCAAAAAAATACAGTAAAACCTGGGAAAACCTGAACCCGTGTAAGGAGGAACTCTGTCAAATATACTGAACACTTTATTGACAAAGTACAGTGCTAAGACTGTACTCTGTCAAAGGTGGAAAACTTGTAAGACCCATAAGAACAAGGTCATCCCAAGAAGTTCTGGCTCTCACAGGTTTCACTGTATTAAGTGGAAATTAATTCATTTCAATTTCACATAGGTGACTAATAGGAAATCTCTGTCTATGGTATATTTAAGAGTACAGCAAGAAACTTTTCCTACTGTGATTCAAACAAAATAATAAAAACCCTATTTCTTATATGTGCACTTAGCACTAGACACTAAGCATGAAACAGGCAAATGGGCCACCTGAAAATTATATTTTATTTTCATGAAATACTAGGGTATTTCATGGAAAGCTAACCTGGAGCTTAGATAAATAAGCAGTTAAAGCTAAAAAACCAAACTCACTGCCATCGAGTCAATCCTGACTCAGAGCGACCCCCTGTGGGTTTCTGAGGCAGTAAATCTTTAAAGAAGTAGATTGTCTAGTCTTCCTTCTATGGAGCAGCTGGTGGGTTTGAACCGCCAGCCTTCTGCTTAGCAGTCAAATGCCTTAGGCACTACACCACCAGAGCTCCTTAAGTAGTTAGAAGATGATAACTATTTTTGGTTAATGGATGATACCTATTTAGATAATTATGGAAATGATATAAAATAGTTCCTTTCAAAGCAGTATTTTAATGTTCTAACATGCAAATGAGGTTAAATGAAGAATATATAATAACATAATTACATAATTCCAAAAGCCTTCAGACAGAAGAAATAACATCAAAAGAAATCCTTCCTGCACTTAATTTGAGAAGTAAAGAAATAAAATCAAATATTAAAAACAGTTTTTTGGTATAAAGTTAAAAGAAGTAACAATTTCTTTGCTAAAATTTTTAAGTCATTATAAATTTACTAAGACCAGAAAACTGGAGAAAATGAATGAGTTTGAATAAGTAAGGTGAACAAACCTGGTTATTTTAATATGTCAAATTTGTTTATTCTGATTGAAAAAACATTTTAAGGGTCTTTTTGTTGAATACTGGTGGCCAATGGAATTGAAGAAATGCCAGTTTTTGACAGTCTTGAAAATTAAATCAAGGGGCTAAAACTTGGTGGCTTTCTTAGAGCAAAATTCTTTTCCTTTCTTTCCATTCTGCCTGAAGATACACATTCACTGATACCTATGAGTGCCTGAAATGAATGTTAACATTTTTTGAATGGTTTATGATCTCATATGTCAACTGCTACGATAGAAGGTGATTTTCTAAAAATAAATAATTCATTTTAGAACTGTAATTCCAAAAGGCTTTAGGATTAAAACTCTCAAGTTCACTGATGAAACCGGTAACAACTGCCCAGGACCTAAACATGTGCTCCCTTTAATTAACGACTGCTCTAGGACCAATGCCTTCAATAGTTTTAGTGAAAAGTATGGCAACCTTACCCAGAATCTGGCTTTTTGCCTCTTAAAACTTGCTGGTCCATCATTTAAAGCTTATAAGGGTTAAAAACCTCAAAATGTATCCAGCAGAAAATTATTCCCCCTACAGAAATATAGGAGCTCTGGCAGCATAGTGCCTAAGGCACTTGACTGCTAACCAGAAGGCTGGCTGTTCAAACCCACCAGCCACTCCTTGGAAGGAAGATGGGGCAATCTACTTCTGTAGTGATAGTGCCTCGGAAACCCAAGGAGGGGTCTCTATGAGTTGGGTGCGACTCGACGGCACATAACAACAACAACAACAGAAATATACCTATGTAAGAAAGAACGATTTAGGTCAAATCAACAAAGTAACGTAGTCCCAAGAGGAGTTACAGAATTGATCTTTTCTTACCTGAGCAACATCCTCAAGTTTATTCCACTTGATAGATAACAATAATTTTGGCAGTGACTGTGGAAAATTCTCTCTGCAGTCTTGTCGCAAAGTCCAAATAAGATCCATTTCATTCTCACATAGCTGAGATAAGGGATCTCTATCTAAGATTTCTTTCAGTACAGCAAGAAACTTTTTTCCACCTCGACTCTAAGTAAACAAAATCACTTACTCATTATAGAATTTAATTGTGTAAACATCACTGTCAAGCATTTACTAAATCTACATATACAATAAAGTTATATACAATTTATGAGTTAAAACACGTGAGATGCTAAAGATATAATACCTTAAGAAACGATTAATAAAGATAGATTCTTTTAATTAGTTTTTATTGCTGAATATTAAGTTTGTAAGCTAAGGATGAAGGAAAGAGTTATTCTAAAACAGCAAAAAACACTTTTAAAATATGCATGTGCAAACACTAGGTGGCAATATTGCTTTATGGATTAAAAACAAAACTTGGCATGCTCAGTGAAGGTAAAAGTGACCCTCAGACACTATACATCAGGGGAGACAAGTGCCTAAGGCACTTGACTGCGGTTCAAACCCACCAGCCACTCCTC